CAGTATCTTTTCTATCTTTCATGTAAACAGCAAGCTAGTTTAGCTGTTTTCCAACAGATAAATGGAGTCCCCCTCTCTTCAGCCTGTAATAACAATACTCACTGCCCCCTTAGTCATGCTCTTCACTAGTAGACTCCTCAAAGTTTTCCCACCTTCCATCTTACACCTGGTCCAAAGCCACTGCCACATGTTCTAGGTTTCTATACACTGGGACCTCACCTCTAGGTATGCATTATGTTTCAGTTCTCTATTGCTATATAAGAAAACGGCCTAAAACTTAGTGTTTTAAAACAATAGCATTCACTTTATTGCTAACAATTTTGCAGTTTGGGCATGACTCTGAGAGCAGCTCATGTCTCTTCCGTGTGGCGTCAGCTCCACTAGGCAGCTCCACTAGGGCTGGAGTATCCACTTCCAACAGAACTCACTCAGAAGGCTGGCAATTGGTACCAGCTGTCTGCCGAGAGCTCAGCTGGAGCTGTGAGTCTGGGACCTAATTCTCTTCCACGTGGACCTCTCCACGTGGCTGCATGGGCTTCCACAGATGATTAGAGGGAAGTGATTGCATCTCACAACTATTTAGGAGGTAAAAATCAGGACGTTGCACAACGATGTGAGTTACTTCATGGTACTGAACTGTGCACTGCAGAACGGTAAATACAGTGCTTTGGGTTTTTTTTTTTTTAAGCCACAAAACCTAATAAATAAAATCAGAGGAGGATGTTGATGGCCTAGAGATGGGTGGGGCTGGAGAGACACATGTCAAAGAGGACAAAACCCCCAAAATAGCCTCTGGCCCTGAGACCTTTTTGGGTTGAGTAAAGGATGAAGCGTTAACAGGTAGTCATAACAGGTAGTCACAACGCGTAGTAGATACTTTAGCTTTGTGCTGCAGGGCTAACACAGGTACCAAAACCATGCCATGCAAACTACCTCAGAGTAGAGCTTTAATGTCTGCAATTCCCAGAGACAAACACTGAGAATGTCATTATAGGTTTGGGTTTTTTGTTGTTGTTTTTAAAGACGTTATTTATTTATTCATGAGAGACACACAGAGAGAGGCAGAGACATAGGCAGAGGGAGAAGCAGGCTCCCTGGGGGGAGCCCGGATGTGGGACTCAATCCCTAGACCCCAGGATTACTCATGACCTGAGCCAAAGGCAGATGCTTAACCACTGAGCCACCCAGGTGCCCCTAGGTTTGAGTTTTCTTAAAGCAAGCCTCCAAACCAATACTGCCAGAGAAACAGAGATAAGTAATAAAACTACAGGTGCATACAATATTCCCCCTTTCAAGCATGTGACCTTTTAGGCTAGAAGCAGTACGGTGAAGTGGTGGGCAGGGAGAAAGCAAGATGTTTCATGGTCATTAACCCTATTTTTCTAGGATGTAAAAATCCCTTTGTTGCTTTATAACGAGTAGTCTGGAAACTAGTGCTACTGAGATCTTACTTTTGAAACTTTCTTTCTTTAAAGTAGCAAACAGGTCATAAAGATCATTTATATCCTGAATGATTTCTTTCACTGAGGTTTTATAAACAGCTAAAGTCTATTTACAGATTTTCAGTGGGTTTTGTTGGTAATGTATAGCCTTGTTTTCTTCAAAGTAAGCCTACACCATTTTTCATGGAAAGGACAGAAAACGGAGTCCCTCTTTTCATGGTGTATTTACCCTCCTCCTCATATACTTTTCTGAAAACACCTTGAATTTCATGCTCATCACTGATACATATCCTAGTCCTCCCTGCTGTATTGGTAACTGTCTGGTACGTTATGTGACTGGTGCAATTTTTTTTTTCCTTTAAGATTTTTTTTATTTGTTTATGAGAGACACAGAGAGGCAGAGACATAGACAGAAGGAGAAGCAGGCAGGGGAGCTGATGCGGGACTTGATCCCAGGACCCCAGGATCATGACCTGAGCCAAAAACAGATGCTCAACCACTGAGCCACCCAAATACCCTGCAATTTTATTTATTTTTGAAATCTCATCAGTTGTCTCATTCTGAGCAAGCTCTCTATCTAAGTGGGTCTCCCCTGCAAAATAATGCCTAAAGACTACTACCATGAATCTGCCTAGTCCTTGTGGTGGCTCCCTATGCTGAGACACTTCCACTTATTCAGTCCCTCCTGCAGGGGCTTTGTAAAGATGTGATGTCATTTAAGGCTGAAAATCAATCTCTGATAAGATTGTGTTCATTTATTCAAAAATATTCACCAAGAGCCTACTGTGTGTTAGGCACTGTCTAGATATTGGGGACACAACGATCAAATCAGACAAAGATCTTCTTCTAGCCCTTATTTTTTTTTTTTTATGCCAGATGTTTTTGACTTTTAACAATGGACAAAGTGCTGGCAAAAGAATCAGGTTCTACATTTGGAATTAGGCCACATTTTCCTGGACGGAGGTAGCAACAGCATCCTGGAATCATACAGCACCTTCCACCGACTCGTAAGTGGAGTCTGACTGGAATCATCAATGACTAGATCAACTGTCATTTTTCTTGGGCCTTTGCCAGGCTCCAGCAAGACAATATCTTTCTGTGGAGTGTATTCAGTACCTGGCAATGGCCGAGGAGGGCAAAGGGCCTGTGTTTATTGGTGGCGCAGGGGCCCAAGACCACCACGCAGCCATTGCTCAGGAACACATTGCCCCCTCGTGGTTCCTTATGTAACTGAGGGAGGGACTGGGAGTGGAAAGGCTCTCCAAGTTTCCAGATTAATCGTGGTGGCCTTTGCCTCTTCTGAACTTCCACTGCAAGTTCAACAGTTTCTTGGTTTATTTTCATCCAGGATACGCTTTTTTTCCCCCCACAGAGGCACATGACATCCTGACAGCAATTAAACCTATTTATCAAAAGCTTCAGACTTCCCCCACCCCCAACCCAAGAAAACTCCAGTAAGTGAATGCAAGAATCACCACTGTTTTTCTTCACAACGCTCGTCACACAAGTATTTTCTCTGCTTTCTGCTATTTGAACCAGGATCGCTGATCATGTGGCCATGGAGTTGTTTTGGGTGTTTCGTCTCCACAACACCAGTTAAAACTCCCTAGAAGCAGGAGCCTTATCTTCACCCCCACCTCCACCCCACCCCCAGCAGCACTTAAACCAGTACAGGGTGAAGAATGTCTGGCGGGGAGGGGGAGAGCAGAGAAAGATAAACAGTGAAGCGAGCAAATAAATAGAAGTTGTGATTGGTACTGTGCTGGAAAGGAACAGCATGTCGTGTGAGAGAATTCCTGGGCGTGGGAAGTGAGGGAGAATCTTCTGATAGAGGCCCTTTTAAATTTATGTGTTTATGATACAGGAATGGAGAAGCTCTCTATGGCCCCGGGAAAATGGAAATTTCCTTAATAATAATGCTAGTTTCCCTGTTCTGTAAACTTACACCGGGCAGGAATGAGTGCTGGGTGCTCTAGCTCTACCAACCTATAATCTCCTCTAATTACAACCCCCTGGGAGGTAACTAACTATAACTACTCCCATTTCGCAGGTGAGGAAACGGAACCCAGGCAGTCCTCTGGCGCGTGGTGCTTAAACAGGGACTGGGTGCCCCCCTCCCAGAATGCTGAGCCCTTTTTCTTCCTTAAGGGGCTTTGACCCTCCGAAGATCATCTGGGTTGGCCTCCAGCTCGGCTCGCGGCGAGCAACAGTCACTTAGCCAACGAGTATTTATTGAGTGCCTACTGTATACCCGGTAGCGTATTTAACTAGCCGTGGGATTATCAAGGTAAACAAGGACACGGTGTGGTGTTGCGTTGTGGGAAGGCTCCCCTGGAAGGGTGAGGGAGGCGGGCAGGTAAGCAATTCCAGGACGGTCTGCTGAGGGCCGAGAGAGGGGCCTGAGCAGAGGGGGGCGTGAAGCCTAGCAGAGGGCGAAGGCCGGGGCTGAGAGCCTGGGAGGGCCCGGCGTGGGAGGTGGGTTTGAAGCTGCGCCCTGGAAACGCCGGCCCCGAGCCGGCTGCCCCCGGACGTCGCTCGTTCTCTCGCATCCTGTCATTTCGAGCTGCCAAGTAGGAAGGGAGGAAATAGGTCTGAGCCGGTGCTGCAGAGGCAGGGCAGGCTGAGCGACGGGGGCGCGATCCCCACGGCGGTAGCCCACCGCGCGTCCCGGGCGTCGCGCGGGCCCGGCCCGGCGCCCCGAAGCCCCTCTCCAAGCGGGCGCGCACCGCCGCGCGAGCTCGCCAGCTCCGGGGGCCCCCGGGGGCCGGGGAAGCGGGAGGACCGGGCCTCCCTCCCTCGTCCGCCTCGGCCCCTGCCCTCCGACCTCCCGCCGAGTCGGGGGGCTGGGGTCGGCCGCTTCCGCCCGCCGCCCCCCGCCCCTCCCCGGCGCGCGCCATCCGGCCGCGGGCGGCCCCTCCTCCCGAGGGGGGCTTCTCCGTCCCGCGTCCCGTCCCTCCCGGCTGAAGCCGGCAGCCCACGTCTAGGGAGGGCGGAGGGAGGAGGAGGGGGAGGGGGAGGGGGAGGAGAGAGGGGAGGGAGGAGGGCGAGAGAAAGGGAGCTGCTTGGATCCCGTACTTCTCAGAGCCTGCCTGGAGCGCGCACTCCGCGGCTCTCCGGGTCCCAGCGTCCCAGCCGCGCCCCGCACCACCTCCTCCTCCTCCTCCTCCTCTTCCTCTCCTCTTCCTCGGGTCTGGGCACCCCTCGCCCCCTCCCTCCGGCCCCCGCCAGGCTCGGGCAGCGGCCGCCCCCAGCCCCGACGCGGCCACATCCCCGACTCTCTGGGCTCCCTCCTGGGACGCGCGCCCGCGCCCCATCCTTTCTTCCTTCCTTCCTTCCTTCCCTCGCGCCCGCCCGCCCGCGCTCTCCAGGTCTCCCTCCCGGTCCCGATTGTCTCCGTCCCCGCCGGCCCGCGCCTCGCCCTGCCCCGTGTCTCCCGCGCACTTCCTGGGTCGCCTCGCCTCGCCTCGCCGCGGAGCCCGAGCCGCCGCTGCCCCGGCTCCAGCCCCCGCAGCCCGCGGCGCCCGCCCGAGGGAGCCCCGGCGCCCGGGGAAGGGACAAGCGGGCGAGCGCGCCCTCGCCCCAGCCCCGCGCCCCAGCCCTGCCCGGCGAGGAAGGACCGGGAAGATGAACAACGGCGGCAAAGCCGAGAAGGAGAACACCCCGAGCGAGGCCAACCTTCAGGAGGAAGAGGTACCGGGGGGCTCGCTGCGGCGGGGGCACGACCTGGGGCGCCGCAGTCCGGCGTCTGGGCACGGCCCTCGCCCCGACCTGTGGCCCGGGCCGGGCCGGGGGGGGCGCGCGGGGCCGGGGGGGGGTCTCTTCGCAGAGCGCGTTTCTAAAGTTGCGTAACTTTGAGGACTTTTCGGAGTTTGCTAAGTATAATGCTCAGCTTTGTCTGCGTGGGATTTTAAAAGCGGAATCGAGAGCTGACTCCCGGGTGACCTCCGGTTCCTGGGACCCAGAGGGTCAGGACTGAGGCTGCGACCGGGGCTGGGAGTGGGGGGTGCTTGCGCGTGCGGCGTAAGGAAGGAACTCGGGGAAAGTTCTCGGCCGGGAGACACCTTCAGTTCCCTGCCCCCTCCCCCTCCCTTTTCAGTGTTAAAAGTTCTTGGTGAGCTCTCTTCCCAGCTGAGGCATTCTGGATTAATAGATAACTCATCAGCTGCATTCTTCTCTGATGAGTCAAAGACCTCGAATCTGGGTGATTAGGGTTTGTACATTTTAGGGGCGATGCGGCTGGGGTGGGGTGGGGGAAGCCGAATAAAAGAGTTTGAGAGTTTACAACTCGCCAAGAGATCGTCTTGGCTGTTTTAATAGGACTCAGACTCCTGAGCGTGAATTTTATGTGGTGCGTCCGTGACAACGTTAAAAACGTTGCGGCGGCGGAGCGTTCCTTGGGGGGGAGAAACCCCATTTATCCGTGGGAGGGAACACCTGAACGGACGGTTTCAGAACTTTGTAGTTAGGATATTTGTGGTATTCTTTCAAGTGGCTTTGTTCCTGCAGGTATGTTATCTGGAGTCCAAGAAACAGTACATGTTTCGCCTGCTTTTTAAGTTCTCCCGTAGCTGAGTTCTTAAACGTCCTAAAAAGAACTTGAGTGTGTATGTGCAAGGGAGTATGCACCTAGATAGGACTTGTGAGGCATTACTTAGAGGGATTGTATTCCAGTATATAGGGCTAACAGAATGGCAAACTAATTCTAAAGCGGTCAAGATGTTGAGATTATTCTGGAGATAATCTGTCGCGTGCAAACTAAGATTCTGATAGTGAAACCAAACGTTGGGGGAGGATTTAATTAGTACTGTGAGACCTCGGCACATAGTCCACTTGTGAAAAGGGAACTATTTATATGAAGATGGAAGGACCTAAGACCATGTAAGTCCATGCAAAACACAAGATTTTACTGCTAGCACATTTGTATGGGGCAACCCGCCTGACTTGCAGTAAGCTGAAAATTGCCTTCACACCTGAAGATAATTGCGCATTTTATTATAAACTAATTCGAAAAAGGTTATTTACATGCTAGTTCTTTACAACCACTGACATGCCTCTTTTCAAAGAGGGGGGAGACCTGAATTGCAAGTTCCACTTTTGGTCTTGTTCTTACTGGCTGCTTTGCTATTTATTTTCCCTACCCTTGAGATAACATGTAAAAAATGACAAGTGTGCTTCTTTAAGGACTTGCTATACTTAACTAATTCACCTAACACACCAATTGCTTCAGAAACCTTTTTATTTTACTTAAATGGGCAGTCTATTTATTTCTAAGGGTAAGAATGTATTGTGTGAAAACATCTTTTTCTGCTTGTCTAGTTGAGAACACTTGTAAATGGAAAAAGTTAATCAGGCAAACCAGAAGCTTTTTTTTTCTTTCTTTTCTTTTTTCTTTTTCTTTCTTTTTTTTTTTTTTTTTTGCTTTTGTAGGTAGCAAAAGAGGTGTACGCGTTCCAAAACCATAACCTACTTAACTTGATACAATTAGAGAAAAATCACATTTATTTTACTTAACCCATCTCAGCCTCACAGCCCCCAGGACTGGTGGTGTCGGCCCTGGTCCTGGGTCCCCTTAATGTGTGAAGCTTTCCATCGGAGTTGGAAGCACAGGTGAGCTTAGTACAGTTACTGCTTCTTAACCTGTTCTGTTGCCCTGACAATGTTCCTCTTCCGGAGGGAATGGCATGTGGCTCTGTGGTGTATCAGTTTTGGCAAGACAGCTCTTTTAAAGGTAAGAGGACAGGAAGATTTGAGAACCCACGTTGTGTAAGAGGTAGAGGATAAAGACAGATCCACCACGAAGAGAGAGGGTTTATAATGTTAAAGATTCAGGAAAAGAAAGGAAATAGGCCTGGAGTGATCCAGGTAGTTTTCCTCTAATTCCCTGTTTTGAGTATGTTTTGTTTTTTTGATAAACTCTAACCTCTTTTTTTTTTCTTCTAACTCTGAAAGCCACAAGTAAAATAAATATGGTATCTGGTGAGTCCCCATTAATGTACTCAGCATCATACAAAACCACTGCACTGGACCCTTTCCCTGCCCACCCAGTGATCAGCAATTTGTTCTCAAACACATTTAAAAGCTTTGGCTGAGGACTCCAGTAAACAGAACACACACATATAAAATGTATATACACATAATGACAGAAAAATGTTTTGTTGTAGTTTCTGGTGGCCATTGAGCTGACTTGGAAGAACAAGTCCAATCATCATTAAGAGAAAATAGTTTATTTCCTAGAACATCAGGGCAATTTAAGCTTTCTCTACCACTTCATAGAATCTGAGGGGGTTTTAAAAAATAGGTTCCTTTTATCTTCCAGTACATTTTAGCCCTGTTTGAGAGCGTTTAAAGCTTACTCTGAAATAATTGATACTGAAACACTTATTTGGTTCCAACTGTACAAACTGAACAGTCCAGGATTTAGGAGAATTTCTGCAGCTTTTTGGGGTTGGATGTTTGAGAACTTGGACAGGACATAGACTTCTGCTTTGGAGAGTATTTAAAGCTTTGAGGAAAAATTTTTAAGATTTGACTAGTTAACTGTAAGAGATAATACATCTGGCTTTCTAGCTTGTAGTGTGCTATACATGTGTGTTTCTCTGCAACATGTCCCTTTAAAGAAAAACCAGTTGTCAAAATCTTCCTGGGATCTGAGATTTATAGGGCTTATGTATAGGGTGTTAGATAATTTCTAACATCATTTTAGTTGATAAAATCCTAGAATTTTTCATCTAACTTTGGACTAGTCAGTATTCTCTTTAAATGCTTTTGGCAGTTTATACTGAACCAGACTTTATTCATATTGATATGTATATAACAGACTTGTTGAGATTTACATATCGACTTTTTCTATCTGGGAGTAGATAGAAAATTATTTTTGGTTACTTATTTTTCAAAATAGATTTTTTTTTTTTGGAAAGGAGATATGTAGTTTGGTTTTTCTTTTTTTTTTTTTTTAATTTTTATTTATTTATGATAGTCACACAGAGAGAGAGGCAGAGACACAGGCAGAGGGAGAAGCAGGCTCCATGCACCGGGAGCCCGATGTGTGGGATTTGATCCTGGTCTCCAGGATCGCGCCGTGGGCCAAAGGCAGGTGCCAAACCGCTGCGCCACCCAGGGATCCCTGTAGTTTGGTTTTGTCTTTACTTTTATCCAGGTCATTGAGTATTTTTCAGGCTGATCACAAATCCTAAGAGGTGTTTTATTATGTTGAAGCACGAATGGTAAATAGCAACTTTTCCTTAAATTGACTTGAGCCTTTTTGTACTTAAAACTGGAAAAGCAAAAAACTTGGCATTGTTGGAATATTGACTGAAAAGATGTTTGGCAGATGTTGGGCAAGAATCATGTAAAGTTGATTCTTTACAAGCTAATACAAATCTTTACCTCCCTTTTCTTTTAAAGTGCTTAGTGGGGCGCCTGGCTGGCTCAGTTGAAAGACCATATGACTTTTGATCTCAGGGTCATGAGTTTGAGCCCCTCAAACCCAATCTCAATTGGGTGTAGAGATAACTGAAAAATAAAAAATCCTGAAAAAATGCTTCATAATCTTGCTCCAATATTGGGGTCAAGAAGAAAATGGTTTCCTCCAATTGGCCCACAGAAAGGGTACCAGGTCCTTTTGATGTGGCAACCTCAGATTTTTCACTTGGGCGTTAAGTTTAATCTACCTTATGACTTGGGCAGAGTACAGAAAGTTCTATATGGCTCAACCATGTCTGGAGTCTGTTATTCCAAATTAAATCTAACACAACAAAACTGTTTCGGCCTTGGTGATAGTGTTTTAAAAAGAAGGCACAGTAACTTCTTAGTGAGATGTAAAAGAGCACTGCAAATAAGGCATGTGCTCCTAAGCTGTTTTTCCAGCAGCGGTTTTAAAATTTCGCTCATGAACCCTTGTGCTCTTGTGCAGTCTGTTTCCCATGGCATTTGTTGGATGGATTGTTTGGTAGGGTAGGAGTTCTTTTTTGCAGTTGCTTTCATATGGTTTTTGTGGGTTCATATTAATTTGTGCTTTGAGGACAGAGTTCAGTGTCGGTGCTGGGCAAGAAAGTGGGCACTTAGAACACCAGAGTCCTCCAGAAGGCTGCATTAATTTGTGTCACCTTGCAGTACCTATGGCAAAATATGTTCATGAATTAGTTACTTCTGATCGTGAACATTCATAAAGATTGTCTTACCAGGGAAATTGCTAAGTAAATCATGGTTATGATTTCTGAAGGAGAATAGTAGGCAGCCATGAAAAGCCATGTTTTTAAGATCTATATGTATTTGATTTTTTTTTTTTTTTTGTTATTGACTTAAAGCAACAGAAATGATTCTCTCACAGTTCTGGAGGCTAGAAATGTGGAATCAAGGTGTCTACATTGCCACGCTGCCTCTGAAAGCTGTATGTGAGAATCTGACCTTTTCTTCCCAGCTTCTGACAACATTTTAATTGAGTGCATAATTGTCAATGTTATGACATTAAATGAAAACAAATTTAAGGGAGCAGCCCGGGTGGCTCAGCGGTTTAGTGCCGCCTTTAGTCCAGGGCCTGATCCTGGAGTCCTGGGATCGAGTCCCACATCAGGCTCCCTGCATGGAGCCTGCTGCTCCCTCTGCCTGTGTCTCTGCCTCTCTCTCTCTGTGTATCTCATGAATTAAAAAAAAACAAAACAAAAACCCCAAAAAACCAGATTAAGAGTTCT